TTGATTGATTCTTAAGATTGAGTGTTTCAGAATCGAACTTCTAGTTCTAACTTATTCCTGAAGATCAGAACTAAAAACTTGCCTACAAATCAAGTTACTTTGTGTTTACGAACTCTTCTTCACATAGTTAAGTACTTTTAAAGTCTTAATATTAAAATGCATGTCAATTGTTTCAGGCATTTAGCACCATAGTGAACAACGCATTACAAGTTGCGACGATTAACAGTGTGGGCGACTTCATCCTATTCCTCGGCAAGTGCATAGTGACTGCTGTCACCGGCATCATTGGTCTACTGCTCCTCAAACGAAACTCTGATCTACACTTCTTCGCTGTTCCCACATTAGTGATCTGTATCTACTCGTTCTTCATTGCACATTGTATACTTTCCCTTTACGAGGTTTGTTTCTGTTGCTTTTTAGTTTATTGTGTTTATGTAACTTCAAGAGTTTGTTTTACTGATATTTCTTCACATTTTCCTCTGTACGATCACGACGAGAAGTCGTAAAATATTTTTTGGAAATCGAATTGGCTGAATGGTTTCGGTCATTCTTCGAGTTCTACTTACAAAGTACCTATACCTGTGACTGAAAGATAATGGAACAAAATAATCAAATTTTAACTTAATGATATTCACAGATGGTAGTTGATTCACTGTTCCTCTGCGTGTGTGAAGATCGCAATATGAACGGTAACGACGGCAGGTGGAAGAACACTCGTTTGGCTGAGCTCGGTGGACATAAGGGGGATAAATATGACGAACAAGATGGCGCTGAGCTGCAGGACGTGCCAGACAAGTACTAACTCGACGCCTGTTGTCCTTGGGGCTTTGCATGTCCTATCAGTGCCTTATTGTGGATGCTGGCTGCAGATTATGTAATTTTTCTTGCTTTATTTGCTAAATTATTCATTTATGAATTTCGAATATTCATAAATAAATATGTACCACTTTTTGTAAATACTAACGCGACTTACATTTGAAAATACTAAAACAAAATGTGTCCAATGTGTCTGTGTCCAATGACATTGTTTTTAATATGCCTCAAATATGGAGATTTCTGTTTAAAAATAATGCTTTATGTGTGTATAAACAAGTTAAAAACGGTGGCTGCTTATCATAAGGCTTTTCAAATTTCGTAATATCTAATTATTTTTTCTAACCTTCAATAATAGCATGAGAAAAACGTTGGATTCGTAAACGGTGTTTGGGATTTTTTGTTTTCTCATACTAGATATTGAATCAAAACTACTTGATGGGTTTTAAATCAATTTTTATTGTTTAGTTACATTCAATATTAATTTATTCTAACTGTCACTTTTAATATTTATTGATCATTTGCATGGGAAGTTTTTAAGAAGGTGTTATCAAACTATTTATGGTTTCATTTGATGTATTAATTTCAATTTTCAGGTAAAATGGCGGCTGATTTAGAAATAAGAAGAATCTTTTACGCTTTTACTTAGACTCAGTATTTGCATTTTTTTATTTATAATTATTAATATTGAATAAGCACTGACACCGTGATATGACGGCACATTATTTGTGTGAATCACTTTTTGTGTCTATAAAATACTTTCATATTAATGTTGGTGCAATGCTATTAGATATAATAAGCTATTTTGGCATAATATTTTTCTAATACTAAATATAGATTATTGATCCCTACAAATATATAATATAATGTGTTTTATGAATGTTTACATGAATTTTAGAAAAGTTTATAGAGTGCTCTGAATATTATTTTTGTGTACCTAATGTTGAGAACTATGTATTTCTTAATGTTTTATTTTTTATCAGTGCATAATAAATATATAATCGATAATTATATAATCTATTTACGTAGATTTTACTGAAGGGAGTATGAATGTTGGATAAATCGAAATTTTTTGTGCATGCAAGATTTTTAAAGTACACGAGACTTACACTTTGCAGTGTATATTTTAGCACAAATTAATTGGATAGCACAAATTAAGTAACAAGTTGTTTATTTGACTTTGCATCATGCATTCCAGAGCTTAGACCTTGTATGCTTTTGTAGTATCTTTTTTAACGACTGACTATTGCCTCGAAATCAACTAATTTATTGCTTTTTTATACATGTTTTGCAACTAAGGCTAATGTTAAGTACAATTTTTGATATTATACTTTTAGGTACTACTAAGCAATAATGTTATGTTTTAACAATACTTGATAATAACTCAATTAACTCCAGGTTCTACAGATTTTTTTATAGGGTGCTCAATTTTTTATGAAGTTTTTCATAGTATTTTAGAATAGTGTTCTTAGTTTCATTTTTTGCATAAGTAAAACCGTCCATGATGTAATAATTTGATTGTAATAAAAACTAGTGTGTTTATTGAAAAACAAGTGTTGATAATAATTTATATTAAGTGAATCTCTTGCATGATCTTTTTTTAAGTATGTTATATGCTGTTTGCGTAACTGTATGTAATATGAGTAATGATGTTTAAAAAAATGATGAGATTTATCTTAAGAGAATAGAATCTAATTGACGAAAGCAATACTTTTCATTGTATGCCATAATTTTATCATATTATTTTACCAATCTAGCTCTTCCGTATAGAATGTAAGGAATTCTGTTTTATCTATCCATAATAAATTATACAAATAAAAATCATTGTGTGGAAAATAAAGTTTTATTATTATGATTTACCAGGTTTTTTCTTTTTAAACTGCTTCCTCTTTTTAATTTGATCAGATATCGCCTTGCTTTTGGCTTTAAGTTGTTTACGTCTTATAGTCTTATCTGGATTTGTTTTAGACTTCTTCATTAGCATACTAAATGCTGGTTTTGGAGCATCCTGTTCACTCTCTTCTGCTTCTGCTTCATCTTCATCTTCCTCCATTGAATTTTCTTGTTCTATCTCTTCTGTAAACAATATGAAAATGAATATCATGTTCTAGTATGGATAATAGAAAATATTATTGTATATAAACTGGTGTCTATTTTAATGCAGATTTGACATAAGAAATAATGATGTTAATCATGTTACTAGTACCAGTTCTTTTATATATATATATATATATATATATATTTTATACACATATACACTATTGCTCTGAACTTTCACTCTTGATTTTCATCTGAAGAAATTTATATCCTTTCTATATTACAATCATAGTTTATATCACTTGAAAAAGTTGGGGAGCAAGCACAACATAATTATTACCATTGTCTCAGCCTACAGCAGGAGAAGAAATATGGTTGTTTTTAGTTAGTGAGAGTGTGACACTCCATCTCACCGCACTTATGTTGAGAGTTGAAAGTCATATAATCATGATAACTCATTACAAAAAAATTATAACTTTAAAAAAGTTTACATTAAACTCACCTTTGACAACAACTTCTTTTGCTTTCTCCATAGGATCACCCTTGAAGAAATCAGCACCCTCTATATCAGGATACCCGGTTTCAGGCTTGGTAGCCTCATATACAGCTTTCTTTTCGATTCTCCTCTCATATTTGCCACCAGCCTTCTTAGATGCAGCTTGCCTCAATTTTGCAGGGCTTATGTACTTAGGATTCTCCCATAATGTTGTACCACCAAAAGATCCAGAAAATATTTTAACCTAGAAAAACATTACTGGATTAGCAATCTTTATTACAAACATATCAGATTTATAACAAAATCTAAGTCTATAATACATACCGGATTCAACACAAATCTAGGTCCAATTTCAGCCAATGCCCCATCTTCAGAAAGTATTTGGTAGTTTCTAAACCAAATTCTGTTGTCTAAGATCATGAAAGTGTATACATGATCGAAGAATGGCTGACTCTTAGGATGATGATTAGGAACACCAAATGTCTGTGTAAGTAATTCCTTTAACAAAGCATAATGGGGATCTTTAGTAAATTGTGGGTCGAAGGACAGCAGAGGCCGGGATCCTCTGAGACAGTTTCCAGTCATTTTTAGCTCACCCATTGTGTAAACTGAAAAGAAAGAACTATGTTAATAAAATAATATGTGTCTATCAGCATGTGTTTAGTTAATGTTCTGAGAAACATACTGTTTTCCACCAAGAATTTGACACTGGGTCCATTAGGTATGTTAGACATCCACAAATAGAGATCTCTCATCTTCCTGCCCTCAAAGAGGATGCACTTGTTGCAGTTCTTCATTTCACTAATCTCATTGACAACATACAAATTTTTACTTCTTTCCATCTTGGATTCTGTCTTGTGATGTGGCATTATTTTTTTAATGTCTTCCATCAAATGTCGATGTCGATGATTAATCCCACGTGCAGCGAACACTAAAACTCTTTGCCGGTTGATCCATTTCACCTAAAAATATCAGAAGTTCGGATTATAATAATAGGGCTATTATGATAAGGTAGGGGCGCTCAAGTTAGCTGTAATACATTCACATTTACTTAAATATGCAACTGTAATCAACATATGCACAAAAATATTTGTTATATTGTATGAGAACATGAATTTCAATAATAACCTGTTTCGGTGCTGGATCATCAGACATTCGAACCGGCGGCAAAATTACTTCATTTTGTTCATCATTCTTATTTTGAAGCACTACAGGTACTTTTTTCTTTCCACTTTTTGCCTTTAATTTCACCATGTTATAACACTAAAAACACGTGCTTAACTTTCAAAAATTAAAAACAACAGCACCACCAATCTAACCCTTCAATCATCAACGTCAAATTGAACCGCACACTTACTTAACCACAGAGTAAAAATCTATTAACTTTCTGACACAAATGATATGAGTACCATAGATGTGGCTTACCAGTCAAAAGATTTTGTAAAAATTATTTGAAGTCACACAACTAATAATAACTAACATCGATGTTTTATTTTGTAAATAAGGAGGAAACACAATCCGCATTTTATTTTAGGACCCTAATTATTTTGAATGTTTGACTTCATGTTCCGATTTAATGGACGATGCATGGCTAGCATTAGACTTACTATAGAATATACCATTACATTAAAAAAAAGTCTGTGTTCGTAGGTAACTAAACTTGTGCTACATGACGCCAGTAAATAAATTAAATTGATTGACAAATCCATGTGTATGGTAATTATTTATTTTTGTAATGTCATCTTAAGTACTCGAATGATAGTATGATAACCTTTGTTGTTTATTCTTACAGTATAAAATATATTGTTATCTAAATACTTGAACGTGGATCATTATTCATGTCTAATTTACTACTTCGTTCTACTAATTCGTACTTCTTGCAGCAGTAGCTTATACCGACAGACCTAGATACTACGCCGCAGTACAATTTGCCCGCTTACGTAACAATATAGGTAATCGAAAGGATTTTATTGTGTTACGAGCTAGTCATGTTTATTCGTATATTTTACTTGTAAACTTATAGTTGTATCTTTAGGTTGTCAACTCGTTTCTAAGAGTTGTATAGGTACCCACTAATCAAAAATAAAACAATGTTTACGTATCCAAAGGAGCTCTTTATTATCTAACACCATACAATCTATGCAGTATGCAGGTTTGAAATCTACAAAGTTTATTTATCAGTATCATTGTTAACTTGGTGTGAGGCACTACTCTCAATTTGTGTGCGAGGTAAATTAATTAATTTCGAAATGATAAAATCATTAGCGTCTTTTGTGAAGTTAGTAAATAAAAGTACTGTGTTTTTGGAACAAGTTAGATATGCGTCACAAGCTTTGCCACAGTTATCTTCGGTAAGAGTTGTTTTTTTGTTTCCTGTAATAGATTTGGTAAATATTTGACAGACACGCTGTTTAAATTAAAGTGATAGCTAGTTATTTGGTCGTTGTTACGAATGCTCTGGTTAAGTAGGATATAATAATACCTATAATTTTGAATAAATATTGCCTGAGTTTCAATAAATACCTACGAAATGTCAAAATCATTAACACTATATTAGCACCGTGGTATCCACCTAAATATTTTATACGCGGTTTTATTTGTAGGTATAGCGGTTTTAAGTACACACAATATATTTAGGTATTTAAACTCACTTTATTATAAAAGTATGTAGGTATATAGTGTGAATAAGATAAACATTTCTATTTGTCTTCACTCATCTGTATGCACTTAAGTACTAAGAGTTATTAACTCGACAAATAGTCGAAGTTAATAACTCATTAGTCAGTTTGACACAAGGGTGAAAGCCAAGGGAGAAATTAAGACGTGGGTTCTATTCTCATTTCGCAATCCATCACTTCTTCACATACCTAATAAGTACAAAACGAATTCCAAATTTATAAACATGTAATTGTAAGTATGATGATGATACACGGGAAATAATGTTCCTAGGTACCGTTGCCCCGATCTAAAGCAGAAGAAGAAGCGGGGTAGTTTTTAGTCATACAGGGCCTGAAACTCTTCGACTTCTTACGATCTATGGCTAGAGAAGTCATCTGATAACATTTCTGAGGTCACAAAATGCCTACCTACCTTATAAGCCCGATAAAATTGTCTCCTACTCCAACATGCATATCAAACACCACAAAAATGACAAATGTTTAAGTTTAAATTATCTCATTACCTTCAGGAAAAATACAATATTCGTAGAAAAGACTTCGGTAAGATCGAGCCATCAGACGTGGACTACTTCCGATCCGTACTCAGTGAAGATCGAGTGCTGACTGAAGAAAGTGATGTTTTACCTTACAATGTAGACTGGATAAAAAATTGCAGAGGTAAGCATAATTGCGAAGTGACGTTGTACAGCAACTATGTATATACATATAGGATATAGGATCCTGCCGTCTTGATATACAATTTACGGCTATAAATATATTATAAGCGCAATCAAGTACCGCGGCACGGCTCGATGCTCGATGCAGCAAACGGAACGGTGGTTTTTAATCAGCAGTAGTCTCACACTCCCTCTCGCCTCACCATAAGGACGGGAGAAGACTATTAAATCACTATCCGCCCTCAAAAACATTAAACGGGTGGTTCAAAAGTCAAAGCATTGTTGGAATTTCTAAGCGTTGCATACGAAATCTGAGCAGCTCGGGGTAATTTGGCTCGACTCTTCCTCGTACAAATATACCTAGATATACAATACACTGTAATGTTTTTTGTGTTAGGTCGGCAAACGAGCATACGGATTAAGTACCTGATGGTAAGAAATGCCCATGGATCAACAGAGGTGTTACGAGTGCGTTGACAACCTTTTGGGGATTAGGGATTTGGTAATTCAAGGATTGGGGGCGGGGAAGGATTGGGCCTCCGACTTCTCCGGTAACCTCACTCAGACAGAGAAACACAACACTATGGCTGTTTCTCGCCGGTTTACTGTAAGGCCGTGATATCACTCCGGTCGAGCCGACCCATTCGTGCCGTAGCACGACAATTTTAAGTGTGGAAATACTTAAAATTGCTAAAAAGTAGGAGTTACATCTTAGCCAATATGATGTGACTTCCGCTCACGGCTTTCGAGGAAAAGACTTTACCAAAATTTATTAAGTCATGTAAATTACTGATAGTAATGTTGATATTGATAAAATGCTTAGTAATGTCGAAAACAAAATCTTTTTGCACACGCTCAAAGAATCGAAAGCAGAGCTGACGAGCATAAATTTAATAGGCACAAAATTTGTGTCGTCAGCTCGTATTTATAAAACAACGTTGTATGCAAAAACTGATTTACTTATCTACGGTAAAGAAAGCAAGTAGGTACCCAGTTCTCTAACAATTAACAACATATTATATTTATTTACGCGGGTATTAACGCGAAAAAATATTATTTTAATACCTTGGTAGGCTTGACGTTTCGACCCGGTTGCACAGGTCATGGTCACAAGCAGACTGAGGATGCGATGTCACAGCTCCCTGCATTCGGGCGATGAATCTTCATCTACCCCCTTTTTTTCATTTTCTACCGTATTAGGCTGTCTACACACTACGCTGACTGTATCCACAGATGTGTTAACCGACTTTGAAGGAAAGCGGGGTTGTGTTTTGACCTTTTCCTAAAGGACCGGTTTCTTTGAGACTAAGTACGACACCATACAACTTCTGACTGACGCCGTGGGTGGAGAGCGGGATAGTCAGACTTTTACTGAATAAAAGCAATCTCGTCCCTTCTCCTATGATTGCGCTTTGCCTGCGGGGTTGCACCCGTAACTCCGGCAGAGCTAATGGTATCCTGGGATGTAAAAAAATGCCTAAATCACTAACTCTCATGCAGCCTTTAACTGACCCACTGTAAAACCACTTCATTTAGAGAAGGAATAAGCATTAGATAATCACCAAGCTTACACTAAGCGAATTGTCGATTTCAAATTTATAATTAGAAAGTACTTTAACTCGAAAAAAATAATATAATTACTTGGTATTGATCTAACCCTCATGTATGCTTTAACTCAGGGGGAGTTACTATTTAAATTAATTTTCAGGACAATCAAAAGCTGTACTAAAACCAAAAAATACTGAAGAGGTGTCAACTATCCTAAAGTATTGTAACGAGAGAAAACTGGCAGTATGCCCGCAGGGTGGCAACACCGGACTCGTTGGCGGATCCGTGCCCGTATTCGACGAAATTGTAATAAGTTTCGCACTGATGAACAAAATCATCGACCTGGATGATCTTTCAGGTTAATATTTATTTTCATCTTTTATTTCATTCTGTTTTATTTGGTGTAGTATGTAACTAGTTCTAGGATAACCGTTACTGGGTTGTTGACTCGTACGAAGTGTTCCTACAAGTCTTTGGGTTCGATAACCAGGACAATAACGGGCAATAAGATTGAATACCGACTGGAATCGTACTCCGAACTACTTATTTGAATAGAGATAACTAATATTAATTTTTGATCTACTCTTCAGATATGCAATACTAATTTTTGTTACTATAGATTACTTAAATACTAAAGCTAGATATTATGCTACTCATCGCTTATCCACAATATTGTCATCGATACCTATTCCAGGAGCTTTAGTTTGTGAAGCCGGTTGTGTTCTGGAGAATCTAGACAACCATGTACGCGAACGTGGGCTTATAATGCCTTTAGATTTGGGCGCAAAAGGGACTTGCCATATTGGTGGGAATGCCAGTACTAATGCAGGTGGCTTGAGGTTACTGCGATATGGTAACCTGCATGGATCAATATTGGGTGTTGAAGCTGTAAGTAAAGATTTTTATAAATTCTTTTCTCTCGTCAAACACTTGCCCCAAGACTTACCTACTCGCCGTGTTGGTGGGACGAGATAGGATTTCGTTATGACGTAACTTGGCAGAACGACTAGGGGACTACACCAGTAGGCCTACCATGACGTGTTCGGGTGAGAAAGAGGGATGGAGTACACTTTTTATAGCTCCACTTAGTCTGACCATGAAATGTAGTTTTTGGTCTATATCTTGCTACCTCTGTCGCCATAATTGAACTAACCACTGCGGACCAGTACTTACTTATAAATTAAGTTATTTACCAAAGGCGATAAAGACTCATTGCATCTTTCTTATCATAATTAGATATTGTTATTGTGTATTTTTGTTTTTACGAGTGTTTGTATAAGTATGTAGGTAACCTCACTAAAAACGCAACTGAATTTATAAGTAGGTATAGCAACGCTGTAATTCACGATAGTGGGTGATAGGGATGAGCAGGCTAACATCGAAATGCAGTTAAACGTGTACCTACCGAGATATTTTCATAAAAAACTAGCGGACCGCCCCCGCTTCGCATGGGTCCAACTATCTCGCTATCAAAGGGTCACTTTTTCCTAATCTTCCCCTCTACTTTTCTAATAGGTATTTTCTTTGATAAGAACCTTCTCCTGACAATAAAAGACAACAAAAAAAGAATTGGCAAAATAGGTCCAGGCGTTGTTGAGTTATGCGCTTACCAACACATTTTGCGATTCATTTTTATATATAGGTAAGTTTGATAGAATTGGTATATCCAATTCTATATTATGCACAATTTTGATAGGTACCTACTATTAGGTACTTAATAACTAAAGCGTGCACTCACATTTCATGACGTGCTTATTTAGAGCCATAAAAAATTTCCTAGACCTAAGACTAACTCTTACCTTCTCCCTGAATGCCATTCCATAGATAATTTACTCTTACACGTGTGTGTTCGTTAATTAAAACCCGTGACAAATTAAATTAATTCGGTTATTTTCCACAAGTTTGATTGTAATGGTCCGGTAAAATTCTCAGTGTGAGGTAATAAACCGGTTTCCAACCGGTGGATCAACTAACATAATAATGTGAAAGGCAATGTAAGAAACTAGATATCCTTTAATATTTGAGCGTCAGTCGACTGAAAGCAAAATAACATTTTATTGATAATTTGAAATGGCCGAATTCTAAAATTGTCCTGTGATTACATAATGCACTAAAACTGCGTGTGTTGAGTTACTTTCCAGATTTATCTCTAGTCTTTACCTAGGTAGGCAGACAAATAATACAAGTAGGTACCTACTTATCTCCAATTCCTCACATAGCAAATGCCCCTATCACTAAGAAATAAATAGCTTTTCACGATTATACCTAAGTACTTTGTGTTTTAGGTAAAAGCTGACGGCACCGTCATAGACTGTCTTAGATCGTTAAAGAAGGATAACACAGGGTATCATCTAAAGCATCTCTTCATAGGATCTGAAGGGACCTTAGGACTAGTCACTAAAGTAGCTATACACTGCCCTGTGCTCCCTAAGTCGGTGAATCTGGGCTTCTTCGGTAAGTCAATTTTTAAAACATTTAAAGTAATTTTCCTAATTTCATCGACTGAACTAACCATACCTACCGAAATTAATCTTGCAGGTGTTAAGAACTTCGAAAATGTTTTAAAATTATACAAAAGTGCTAAATCTAAGCTGGGTGAGATATTATCGGCCTTTGAAATGGCCGATTTTGACTCTATCAACTTTACTGCTAAGAACCTGAAGCTACCGTAAGTAAGAACATAGATTCATTTGGATTTTTATATGCAAATAGAACATAAGGTACATAAGATTTTATTTCTTCCACAGAAACCCTATCTCGGATTATCCGTTTTACGTGTTAGTAGAAACACACGGGAGTGAAGAAACTCATGATGGCGAGAAGCTGACGCGGTTTCTAACGAATGAGATGGAGTCAGGACTTATTTTGGACGGAACTGTTACCTCGGAGCCCGCTAAAATGCAGGTTAGGTAAAGTTTTATTAACAGGTACTTACCTGTTTTCGGTTAACATCAACCGTTTCTAAAATACTAACAAGGAATAAAGAGCGAGCGAGCAAGAAGACATCTTTAATATTAGATATTGAGGTCTTAAAAAGACGGTCTTTCTGATTGGACATAATTATGTAGAAGTGTTATTTATTAGAGGTGTGGTTCCATCGGTGAAAGCCTATATAAAATACCTACAAATATTGATGTTTCTAAAAATCCACCATGTATTTTGATTACAGACAATCTGGAATCTACGTGAAAGCATAGCGGCAGCAGGGTTAGTCGGCGGCTATGTATTCAAATATGATGTATCTATACCGTTGAAGAACTACTACGATCTTGTCCCTATATTAAGAAAAAGACTCGGCGATAAGGCCGTCAAAGTTTTCGGCTACGGACATGTCGGTTAGTACTATCCAAAAGAATAACATAAAACAAAAATCATGTATATTCGTTGAGAATTTGGGTATTTCTACCTACCCCATCTGCAAAGCGTCCGTATACTTATACATTATTATATTATATGTATATTATTTCAGGTGACGGGAACATACACATTAATGTAACAGTACCACAATATACCAAAGAAGTGTCTTCTATGCTAGAGCCATTCATTTTTGAAGAAGTGAGCAAACTGAATGGCTCTATCAGCGCAGAACATGGTATCGGCTTTAGAAAACCCAAGTACATACATTACAGCAAGGACCAATCTGCGTTAGGACTTATGAAGGACCTCAAACAACTGATGGACCCTAATGGAATACTTAACCCTTACAAGGTCTTGCCTGACCATATTTAGCAGAAAGGTGTCATTCAAAGGCATATCTTAAGTACATTACAATAATTATAGATTACGGGGTTGCGTAATATGTCATAATACATAAGTACAAGTCGCGCTGATAACGGACGCTTTAAGATACGAATAAAACAAAACAAATATTATTTAAATGACTTTTATTAAAATATCCATTTATTCTTATAACATCCATAATATCACTGCAACAAAAATACAATGGAATATTATAAACATTTTCCTAATTGCTTAAAATAAATAAATGTTGTATTCCATAAATATATTCGAAAAAGGTTCAATATTATCAGCACAAATGGCTTAGTTTAGCAGGTAGTTTATTTATTGCTATGTAAATTATTTAACTCTATAGATCACTGTAGTCTATCGATCGGCAATTAGGTAATCGGGTTTAAATCCACACTCAAGGCAACTAACACACCGTCTCACTCGCTTCAAATAGGCAAATATAATTACAACAACACACGACATTAGTGTAACGAATTTTGGCAAAACATATTGTTCTACTCCACATCGATAAACCATTAAAAGTTAGGAGGAAATGCAGTTGGAAGTATCAATAGAACAACTTTAAATGCTCTAAGTTGTCATAGTCTAGTTACTTATATAGATCTTGTTAAAGAGTATAATGACAATAATTGTGTAAAATGCAAACTAGTCAAAGATTTAAAAGACTCAGCATTTATATTGAATGGAAATGAATGCTCCAAGTGAAATAATAATCTAAACTAAAGAAATTTGTGCCAAAAACGTATTAAGCAATTGTCTTGATTGTATTTTTGAATGCATCCCACGAAAAGTAGATCAATCAATTAATAATTCCATTAAATTATAATAAGTAATTCATCAGTAAAATGGACTTAATGTCATTTAAGTAAATAAAAAAATTTCAGCCTTCTAACTTATGCAGTATTATTATGTAACATTTTTCTCCAGTTGGCATTGCTTACAATGGAATGGAAGTAATTAGCCTTTTTTGCATAAAGAAGGTATATTTACTTTACTTAGGTTTATTTCAACATTTTCTGTATTTTTTGAGGAAATGTGAAGAAACCCCAAAATTAATGCAATGTTTTCTTCTATAACATGAAATAGAAAAAAAGTATGGAGAAATAATGAGATCACTAAACATTAGAGAATAGACGAAATGTAAACAAGAAAATGGCTCTTACATATGGCCGTCAAATTTAGTGGTGGGAACTAATATTCATAAAATATATTAGCAGCTTAACAATACAAGAAAACAACATCATTTTTTTTCATTAAATAAAACACTTAGTTACCTATACTTGTTTACATTTAGTCCATGTGATACAAGTCGAATGTGTTTACGTATAACATTGAAATGTAATAACTGGGCAATTTAAGATATACTCAATAACTCATTATTCTAATAAAACATTGTATTTTTCATGTACGTAAACACAAGACCCTCCGGAACAACAGACCAAATGATTAAATATCACACTAAAAGTAAAATTATTAGACTGTTTTTTTTTTTTTGTTTTTAATATTCTAGTTTGGTCATACACAATGCGTATCTAAAAAAAAGCTTTAAGTCGGTACATATCCTGATACTTAAATCACTACAATGGAGCACCTAAAAGTAAGTGTTTGTGGCCCTTAAGTAGGTAAGGTGGAAAACTGTTAGCAGGAGTATTGATAACAGTCGCGTAGTTTGTTGTGCTGGGACACCGGGGCGCGACCTCTGGCCGCCCGCGGTGTAGTCGTACGCGCCAAGCTCTTACATCAATCTCATTAAAATCGTTGATATTAGATGGCTACGAAATTGATCGCTCCCATTAAATCTTTTTTATACTTTTATATATTTTATATTTTTTTTATAGTTTTTCACCATTGTCCTAGCATAGTAGACGCAGTTTGGTCTGTGCCCCGCGAGGGAAGGGGCGCGTCGCAACGTGCGGTTATCGTTTGATTTGATTAGATATCTTGAGGAACTCCAAGAAGCCAGCCTGCATTTCAGCGTCCATACCGGTGTCCCACGCGTCGTTTTCGAGCTCCTCGCTATAATAAACGCATTTTTGTTACAATGTACGCTAGAATATAAAATATAAGGTATATTTCTTGTGAATCCCTAACTTGAGGTGACGATTAAGTTTTTTTAGGGGGTTGTTATTTATTAATGTGAGACTTCTAAAAGTAAAATATTATAATGTGTGAGACATCTATTAGTATTTAGAAGCAGGCTACTCACAGTATGTCCTCGTCGAGCGCAACGTTCTTGCCTGGGGGTAGGTTACTCTGCAGGAAGGCACGTTCCTCTGCCGTCAGCGTGTGCCCGTCCGCCAGGTACCCACCGTCGCTCGGACCGCCTTCTACTTTACCATTCATTGCTGTCAGAATACAACTTAAGCCACCGTAGTCAGGGACAATTAAGCTTAAAAGTATTCTGATTACATAATAAATAATGATGTTATACATTTTGTACTATCTGTATACTAAATCGTGTTAGACATTGTATTCAATTAAAAAACAGAAATGTGTGTGTAATTTGAATATGATTAATTAACATGGTGTCGATTCGCTTTCCCTAAGTTTGTTTACGGTACGGCTTCATTCACGTGCATAGTTTGTCGCCCGTTTCAGTCGACGGGAACGACGCACGTGGCGAGAGCTATCGAAGTGAGAACAAACACGTGACTCAAGCCGTACTCAATGTAAAGGTGAACACTACCCACGCAATTAATTTAGGTTCTGGAGGAAACTCCTTTTACATTATTGTACCTAAAGTAAATAGCCAGTAATTGTCTACATTTGAAAATTGAAAAAAAAGACATTGACCTAAGTATTTAAATTAAGCTGTATAAAATTTTCACATTCAACTTAGCAACACGAACAACTGAGGTGCTTATTATATGCGATTGAAATACACAGTTAACAATCGTAGACAGTTTTATCGATAGCATAATAGGAATTTAGCAGCCTTTTACCGTGAATTGTTTGAGTAGGGCAATATAAACAATCATCAGAAGGTCCAAATATATGTGGCGAATATTTACTATATTTTATTTATTTATTTAATTTTTTTTTATTTATTTTAAAAATCACTGTACATTTATATAGCTTTTTTAAATTAAAAACTTTCTTAGTACATATAGATTATACTAGCTCTTGCTCGCGACTCCGTTCGCGTCGAATAGTGACTTCCTGCAGATTTTTTGTATAAAAACTACCCTTTAAAAATACAGCCCTTTCTTCAGTTCCAAACTATGTCTGAACCAAATTTTAAAGAAATAGGTTTAGTAGTTTAGGCGTGAAGAAAAGACAGACAAGAAGACAGACAGGGTTACTTTCGCATTTATAATATTTGTATAGATGTGGCACAAATGCTAGTAGAACTCTGTTAAGATCGAGAGATATGTCATTAAGTATAATAATATATCTAAAATTACTTTTGTTTCCTGCTTCCAAAGTACATAAGAATGTATTTTTGTATAATACATATATATTTCTATTATTGTTCCAAACTCGAGAAGAATGCTAAGTGAGTGGAGTATTTCCTCACCGGGGTAGTTGTACCGGCGGCGCACGTCTGGGGGCGGCACGGGCACGGGCTCGGGCTCTGCTGTGCCCCAGCGAGCCGCGCGAAGCTCCACCACGCCGCGTACGCACGCCAGGGACGAGCGCCGCTTCAGCCTTTCAAACGCCGCGTGCATACCCGACGGACAATCTGCGTCCAGCGCTATTCCCGACAACTGAAACATAAAATTTTGCTACAGAAATTGTTTCTATGATATTTGTATAACTAAACACTATTTTTGTAGATGGAAACTATACGACGAAAATTAGTTCTTTAACTATCAATGCACTCGTGCATTTGCCTAAGCATTATTTATATCTTGTTTTTTTTCTGACTAGGTATTTGTTTTATTTGCAAACATAACAGTTTGTTGACCCGAAAAAGATACATACATATTGCTCAACTATCGAGTGCAGATAGACTATTAGCACAAACTAAGTACATTTTTTTGTAGGCTATAGTCATCCAATGTACGCTCGGGTCTGGTTCTGGTCAGGCGACAAGCTACCCTTGCTCGTCGTTCACGAACCCGTGAAGCATTTATGAGTTTTGTATTCCTTAAAGTTCGTGAGTACAATCTTAATAGTTGAGTGTGTTCCTAATGCCCTCATAGTCACCTAGCACCGATTTTCATGAAAAATTGCTTTAATACCACCTAAAAATCTAAACATCATGCAAAGATGCAACGAAAACTCGTACCTATCATTGCAAATTGCAGAATATCTTGCGGAAGGTACGACAAAGAACCTTCAAGGCCACCTGTTGATATTTTATTATTCCACATAATTATTATCTACTTGATATAAAAGTTGAGTGACCCCACTACGATTGCTATGACGATAACTGTTTGTCTTTTAATGTTTTTCACGTGAATAATTATTGAAATAAGTTTGTTAATAATAATAATCTTGTAATGTACAAGTCTGTCAATTAATGATTGCAAAAATTATAGCGGTTAAGGCAAAAATGCAGATGAATAGACAAGCCTGTAATTAAATTCTTAATTTTTGATCAGAATTTGTAAAAAGTTTTTGTTCGAAACGTCATTTGGACAAAACAATGTATAAAGCTATTGTCCAATTTCCTGTTTGTGATATCGAGAATGTTGCTTTTGCATCTTCATGACCACCTACAGACAGTTTCATTGTTGATTTAATTCGCATGAAACGAATCGTGAAAAATGTCAATACACAAAATGTACAAGTTGTTCTATTTTCACTTCGTCCTGTCTTTATTGCGTGTTACACAAACATCAGTTTTCGACGGCAATCGGTGTTTTATTCGTATTTAACATTTATAAAACCACTTTCAAATAGTGCATGAATACGGGAATTATTCGAACATTCTAGGTTCAATATAAATGTTAATAAATCAGTACTTGTTAACAGAAAATTGGTTAATTAATGCCGATATATTAGTATTCACTTCAAAAAGTCCAAATATTCACTTAGCATAACCAATCACCATACACATCCCTATGTTATAAGTTTAATAAGTTCGTCTGGTAATTTTCCGCCAATCTTGCGCGATTTAGTTTTCGCACGGAATAAATATCTTGTACGATTTCAGCTATATATTTCAGAAATGTCTAAGGTTTAAGTATAAAAATGCGTATTTAAACAAAGCCACATTATATGAAAATACATAGGTTCAGTACAGTGAAAAAAACTTACTTTGAGCAGTTGACACACAGCTTTGATGTTAACTTCCTTGTCTGTGTCAAGCAAATGCAGCAATACTTTACACAAACTTTCTCCTAGAGTCTTGATTCTTCCTCCCTGTGAAAAACACAAGTTAACTTTATATTGGTAACTGAATCACTTGCATTGAAACTTTAAGAAAAAATATAATAAAAAGAATAAAACTATGTATTAAAATATTTTCCTTGTAAATATAATAACGACGGAATACCAACCTGGCTATCTTCCAGTTGTGTATAGATCTCAGCTAAAAACATGGCGAATCCACGCATATTCTCTTCTGATGTTTCCAATCCGCTGATTATCTTGTTCTCCTCAGTAGAACATCTCTCCAACAAACACGCACGGAAGGTAGACTCTTCCGGCGGCGATACGGAATCATACATCGAACACAGTCGTGCTCCATTATAACGGAAGTTAGGTTCAGCTATCGACTGCAGTAACAAAATTAAAAACATACAAACTTCAAATCCAATAGTAAAAACCCAATATTTTCTATCTGTCAGACATAGTCAGTATATTTTAAACAATAAATAATATTGTTTTTCAGTATTTATTACATGGTAATTCATTAATTAATTTACTTTTTCAAGCAATGAACACAATGAGATTTCGGAAATCTTGACAATGTGCTTTCTTTACAAGATAGGTAAAATTTAATGAAATCAAATCTTATTCTTCTAATTCTTTCATTTCTCTAGTGTAAATTTAAATGGTATGGATAATCACACTAAATGGACATTGCTTATATCTTTGTACAATGTCAATGTATTGTAAAAAGTTGCAACAGTCTCAGATTTTCTACACATCAATAAAATGTTTATCTAATCTGTTGCTTATGCTAGATTTATTAGTTAAACCAAATCAATAACATGTGACACGCTTAATAGTTATAAACATTACAGATAAGTTAGCAACAAATATTCAAGATTATAATTATAAAATGGTGTGACTTATATGAAACAATACCTGATTAACAATAGCTTCAACTAGAGGTCTAGTGTAGTTCACATCATGCAGGGTTGTTGCAAAGGCATCAACCAATGGTCCGCACAAGTTGTCAAACTTGCCAGGATCAAATGTTATCTCACACATCACTGTTATCAGGTTGGCTATGTTCTCCTGCGGAACGGCAGACTGCTCAATAAAATCGGATTAATATTTTTGGCATATTTGAACACAATTTCACGAAGTTTAGACTTTATATATACAAACCCTTAAATCCATATTCTCAGCTTCATCAAGTGAATAAGACATTTCTTCTAAGTTGTAGGGATTTTGATCTTGAGCTTGACGAAGTCGAGCTTGCACAGAGAACCGTTGAGGTCTATAAGACGCAGGATCTGGTGTGTATGTGGGTACATTCCGGGTGTAGTTAGGCGGGTACCATTCCTTGGCATCGGCCGACAATTTAGATTTAGAAGGTTCAACTGAAAGCAAGGTGTTATGATGAGTTAAACATGTTCGATTATATAAAAAAAAAATACAGTTACATACTAAAACAAGTTGACCCAAAAACGAATTCTAGCTTCGTAATCGATTATAAGAACGGTCAGCAGACTTTGTCAAACCACGGCGACGTCATTAGAAATGAAAATCCTTACTTTCACCTGAAGTATTATAATTACGAAGAACGCAGTTATAAACTGGCCAAGTATGACGACGTCACACGGCAAAGCAGGGATCGGTGTGGGAAAGTGTGATATTTATCAATGCAGTTGTTTTGGTTTTTACCTTTTGATTCCTCTGTAGCGGATTCCTCTGCCACGATCTTTGGCCTACGGAGCTCCCGTGGCTGATTATCGGGTTGCTGCCATCCGCGGCCTCTGCCTCTAGGCCCTCCGATCTCACCGTTATTCATTTCAATGCGGTTATCACAACAACGACTTGATAGATTGCGGTCTCTGACTTCTATCCATAAATCACTCAAATATACAACTAATTCTAGTTCACTTTTTATAGGTTCGACAGATTCGACACGTAAACAAAGAAAAATATATTTCGCTACTAATTTCACGGCACAACCTCCATGTTACTTTTGAACGAAGGAGATAGACTGATTATTTTTAAGCAACGTGTGTTGTTTTGACGCAAAGGTATTTAATCCATTCAGCCTAAAAGTTTACTTTTTAAATTGAACCTCATTCATTTTTAAGAAATAGATAATTTGATATATTTTAAAAAGAAAACGGAATCAACACAAGTGATTTTTAGTTCTACCGATTTTATATATTAATAGCTTCCGCCCGCGTGGCATTTCGATATAAAAGGAGCCGGTGTTAATCCAGGGTACCATCTATCTAAATACCAAATTCCAACCAAGTCAGTCCAGCTGTTCTTGCATTGAACTTTGATATTAACATTTTTAATATAAGAAGGATGTCTGTAAAGATAAGAAAAATATTTAGAACAGGGTTGTGATAATTTCGTAGGAAAATGTGTAGGTAAAAAAGCACAAAAATGAGGGGAAAAGACAATGTTTGACACAACTAACTTTAATGGCAAAAAACAACTTTAATTAGTATTTAGCAAATTATTGTCAATATTGAAAAGTTTATTATGAAAACTACATGATGAAAAGTAAAATCTTTGTATTGCTTTAAAATAATATAAATAATCATAGCCATGTATGATCTACTACCTAAACTTTTTACATGATTTACAAAACTATACACACAAAAATTGCTACTTTTTTTCATTTCGTGTTTTTTCAACTTAACATTTTTATCAACAGGTACAGAAGATACATAATAATATTTTCTATTTAACTATGACTAAAAATAAAATACCAAGATTCCAACTGGGTTTTTCCATACAATAATATTAAGCAAATATTACTAAATTCATTTATTTGCACAAGTGCAATAAAAGAGCAATTTATTCAGCAGCATCTTGAAATTGTTTAAGTGCTTTGTATAATGTGAAGGACAACAATTGTTTAATAATTGGTTGTTAGCAACCTCTATGCAATAAAAATATAGACTAGTCAACAAATACTACATAATTTTATATACTAAAAGATTCTCCACAGCCACATGTGCCCTTTATATTTGGATTGTTAAATACAAATTCAGCTGAAAGTTTATTTTCAACAAAATCCATCTCGGTTCCTGAAAAAGGAAATAAAAATAAACATTAATAATACTGAAATAGTATACACAGTTATGGTATCATTATAGTATTAAACATGCAGATGATGTTGATTCTATTTAAGTCACCAATCATTGAAAACCTTTAGTCATTTATACAATTTTGAAACTTGGCATGAATAGTAAATATTTTCAATCAAATGAAAAGATATAGTGTGCAGTATTAACACCATTGATTGTTAAACTAGTGTTTACATAAATGTTATAAATTTATGTTGACAATATTTTAACTTGTTTTTAGCAATACACAAAGCAATTATTAATGTTGTGTTAATAAAAACAGCTTAATGTATCATTTGTTATATTGCCTTACCTAACAATGTTAATTGTGCTTTTCTGTCGATAATTATGGTAACGCCATCCTGTTTGACTTCTTCGTCTAGTTTATCTTTAGCTTTCGCATAGTCCAATGTGTATGATAATCCGTTACAGCCTCTCTGACGAACACCAACTTTTAAACCTATGAAACCCTTTGCATCATCTTTTGCCATAATCTCTTTAATTTTGTTTACTGCGGAAGGAGTTAAGACCAGAGCAGCTCGGGAAGGGAGCATTCGTTTTTTAACTGCTCTCACAGTAGCACTTGCAATAGTTTTAGTGGCCATCTGAAAATATTCCAAAAAAACAAAATATATATAACTTTGCACTTCGAGCACATATTCTGTACAATAGTTTTATTTTTAAGCTAACATAAAAATGCAATTTGTTGCTGCAAACTCATACCGTTATTTGTCTCTGGCGCAGTTGTTGTTTTGTATAATCATTGAAATATTAATACTATTTCAGTATTTCATAACTGCGAACTACGATTTTGGCTGCCAATGTCAATACTGCCAATTTTTTTTGCCATTGTCAAAATTATAATTACAATGTCAAAAATGACAAAAATCTCGACATTGCTTACGATAAAAATGGACTTATAGCAGTTGTTTGTAACATTGATAATGATTAAGTTAGCAACGATAAATTCTGTTAATTTTATGTGTAAATATTTATTTACATTAAAAATGTCCATGTCTGTATGTATGATGCAGGTAAATAGCTCCCTGTAGTTTTTACAAATGTACAATCCCGTGAATAGTAAAACCGATAACAAAAATCGGACTTATTGCTGGATCGTGAATAGTAAGTTTTAAAGGCAAATCATATATACGACGAGTGACACTTGACAGATATACGGTGTTGCATCAATACTCTTAAAACTACAACTGGAACAAGTCACTACATATCTCTACTGATTCATTAATTATTTAAAGACGACAGTTAAGATTATTTCTTTTGGTACCCATGTCAGCAGTGTTTTAAATGTCACATGTTTGAAACAATAAAAATAAATTATCTTATTTTTGCTTCTAGCAACATTACTTTTCAAAAACGTCAAAATTTTTGATACAACCCATCACTGTATGACACGTCTTCTACCAAAGAGGTTTTCTACCTACTAATGGTACTTGTATAGCGTGTAATGATTTTTCATACTCAATGTATTAAAAATTAACAATGGGTGGCCAAAAATTTGAATATGATGAAAGTGGATCTACATTCTTTTACTTTGTTCTTTCTTTTCTTGCTCTGATTCTTGTACCTGCAACATTTTATTACTGGCCAAGAAAAAGGAAAGAAGGTGAGTTATTCATGTTTCACGGTGTAAAAATGTTATTTTGTGTAAAAATATTGCTAAATATCAAGATTGTTGCATGTTATTATAACATAATTGTTTATTCACTCATAATAACCACACATGTGTGTTACTTAAATACCGTTATGTTAGTATTACACTGATGACGATGCGGCAGTGTCGCCTTTGGTAAAGCCTTGTATGAAAAACGACTAGATCGAATACTTAATATATTGTAATCTGTTTTAGATCCAGCAAAACGAGCAGAGCTATGTCAATGTCCAAATTGTGTAAACAAACAAATCATAATAGAACAATCACAACCTTACAAGGGTGTAAAAAACTTCTTTATAAAATTAGCGATAATATCGGGATGGGTGCTACTTGGATTCTTGGCATACAAAGTGTCACAATTTGACTATGAAATGTCTAACTTTGATCCTTATGATATATTGGGCCTGCCACCTGGTGCCACCCAAGCTGAGATAAAGAAATCATACCGCAAACAATCACTCATCCTCCATCCTGACAAAGAGACTGGTGATGAAAAGGCCTTTATGAGGCTAACAAAAGCTTATCAGGTAAGTTTTCTTTATCATTTCTTTCTTAGAATGACTTGAGACATGAGGCATTTTAAGAGTTTGTATTAATAGTATGATTTTATTACAACTTAAAACTTATTTTAATTTCAGGCACTTACAGATGATGAGGCTCGTCGGAATTGGGAGAAGTATGGTAACCCTGACGGTCCTGGTGCTATGAGCTTTGGTATTGCTCTGCCAAGTTGGATTGTGGAAAAAGAGAACAGTGTGTGGGTGCTGGGTCTCTATGCCTTAGTGTTCATGGTGGCATTGCCAACTGCTGTAAGTATTGTCACGTTTACTTGTTTACTGGCTTGATGATATGTCAATCATAAAAATCAAGTTGTTGTGACTGAAATAATCAGGATTATTGGTTTCTAATTATAATGAAATGACATCAAATATTATATCTGACACAAGGGCTAGCACCTGAAGTAATTGGAGCAACAGTTCTGTTATTTGAAAAATGATGTCAACCTTTATTTATGTTCCATCAGTAAATAATAATGATAATTGTAATGACATGCACTTATTTCTAGGATAATATAAAAATATGTTAGATTTTGTGTTTTATATAAAGCTGAAGATTGTACAGCTGATTTCTAATAAGAATACATTTGATAATGTTCCTAATAAAAAAAAAAAAATTTACTCTGTTTATTCAAACACAATTTCCATGTTTTTTTTTTCATGATAGGTAATATTGAAATAAAAGCATGAAAATTGTTTGGATACTGATAGAATCATAACTGTGCAGTGCATGCGACACACACTCAATTGCCTACAATTATGTTTTGATTGTAATACTGAAAACACCTCATTGTACTCTCTGCTATAGTTTTAACACATAATATAAAAAATATATCAACCAGCCAGTTTGAGATATTGAAATTAATCTAAATCTATGACTTTACACCATGAAATCCTTTTGATTTGGTAACAAGAAAAATAAATGGTTATGTGTTGTGTATGTGCTTAGACATGGTGGGTTCATTGAAATACAATAATAGAATAAAATATGACTTTGTTTATTTTCAGGTTGGTACTTGGTGGTACCGTTCTATACGCTTTTCTGGGGAGCAAGTCTTATTAGATACTACTCAAATGTACTTCTATTTCTGTCATAAAACACCATCTATGCCATTGAAGAGAGCTCTCATGATCCTTGCAGCTTCCTGTGAGTTTGACAAAAGGCATAATTCTGAAATCATTGAGAGAATTACTGATAATGAAGAAGTTCCCATGGTATGTACCAAAATAATAACCAATGTTTTAGTAGACATGAATTATCGGCTTTATGATATATTTACAGACAGTATTTGTTTATGTAAAATAACTTCTACTTTACAGATTCTGGATTTTTGTGTTTTTTTGTGATAATAAAATAACTGATATCCATTTCAGTTGCTACGTGAGCTACCAAACTTGGGAGAGAAAAACAAAGAGCAGCCATTGTGTCGGCCGTACAGTATTAAGGCGCGGGCGCTGCTCCACGCGCACCTGTCCCGCATGCGTTTGCCGCCCGAGACCCTAGAGTGCGACCGTCGGTACATCGTATCGCGGTGTCCAGACCTTATCGTAGAAATGGTCAACTGCGTCAACCAGCTCATTGCTTTAGCTTATGCTAGAAGAAGTAAGTACAAAAAATGTATCTAATGTAGTAAAGCTTTTTAGATCATGGTACAGACTGTA